TCTCTCTCTCTCTCTCTCTCTCTCTCTCTCTCCTCTCTCTCATCTCGTTTTCTCTTACCATTTATACAATTCTACAACAGTTTATGTAAAGATAAAAAATCCAATTTTCTCTATTTAATCTCCTATCGTCTGGCTTCTTTTCGTGACTCGAACAAAAAAATTCGGAACGATATCGGTGTAATAGCACGCTACAAATAAGATAACGTGTCCCAAGGCCAACGCGAAGAAATTAATTGGTGAGCAGCTATACGCCACCGAACGTTGGCGTGTCTCGAATATTGCTGTCTGTTGAATTTATCTGTCGCAATCGGGTTACGGAAGGAAGCGATTATTTGATCGCACGGACATACCGATGGACAGGAAGTCAATTTAGAACGGAACGAATAATGACGTGTGTTTTAAAATTAGCGGCGGATTCACGTGAATTATATTGCAAGTTCCTTTCACAAATGTCTTGTATTTAATAATTTATTTTTGCATAATTTTCTTTGGAACACTTGGCTCTTTGAAGAAAAGAAAAGAAAGAAAAGAGGAAATGATTTTCGATTATTTTTGCTTGCAATTGAGAAGATAAATTAGAATTAAGCAAGAGATATACTAAAAAAACAAAGAAATAAACAAATAAATAAGTCACGAGATCAATATTCCACCTTCAAAATGCATATATAAAAATTTTAAAGATTCAAAAAGTTTTAAATATTTGATTGATTAATTTCAAACGTAAAATTTTAAATGTATAAAAATGCCGAAAGTTTTCGTTAAATTTTGAAGACGCCACTATTTGCAATGTATAGTTCATTTGCTCTGACAACAATGAATCACTGCGTGTTATGATTTATTTGGTCTAGCCTCAGGTACAGTTTTGTTACACGATGTTCCGAAGAAAGTGTGTATTGATAGCATTTGATATATTTGAAGTGATTTACTATGATTTTACTATGAATTTGTCTAGAAATTTTTAGAATATAGAATGTTTTGAATACATTCAATTTATGTAAAATTTTAAAAGTAATTAAAATTTAAACAATTTTTATTTTTATATATTCCAATTTGGCAGAATAATCTTTTTATTAACTGTTTTTTGTTTTATGCAACGTTCTGTCTTGATATTAAGAAATTGTATTTCGAACAAATATAAGTCTGTTATTGAAATACACACTTTCTTTTCGAGAGACAACTTATATTATATTAAAAAATTAAAAAATATTTTCGCATTTATAAAAAATATTTTCTTTGTATGATTTTTTCCTATAATCGAAGAGCATAAATTCTGATTAAAAGATAGAAATAAAATACGTTTGACGCATTACAAAAGTATGAAAAAAAAAAAAAAAAAACGGGAGCATTCTCTCTTTGATTGCCACTGTAATATGATTTATTTCATCTTTCTCATAAATATACGGTGTCTCTGATCAACCTCATTGCTTGTTCAAATGGAAGTTTCTATAAGCGTGGAATCAATATTGGTGAAGAAAATTAAACTTAACGATTATTACATTAAAATGGTTTGAAAAATTTCTATAAAAAATAAAGAAACGTAAGACTCAAAAATATCTTATTGCAATTCTTCATATATATTATTATATTAACTTTTATTTTTATAAAACAACAATTGAAAATATTTTAATCAATACATATAACATT